TTTATTTATTTTATTTTATTTTTTTTTGCTTTTTTATGTTTTTCGTGTTTTTTTTTTTGGTTTGTTTGTTATTATCAATATTTAATTTTCATCATTTTTTTCCTACAAAATTCCGGGAATTCCGGGAATTTCGCGACGAGCTGGGATTTTTTCCCGAGAAAAATATTTGGTATGATTGTAACTCAGTCTATTGTTCCAATTTTATAGCTCCATTCCAATCTGTACCATATGGTTAGAGACGGTGCATCTGAAAAAGCCGTGCAGCGCATCAAGGATTCAAGTTTTCTCTTTGTGGACTGCGTTTATCAATTGCTGTCGGCAACAAAAGTTGTCACATACTCCTAATTACAGGATGAATTAAGCAATTGCCTGTCATTTCGTGTGCGGCTAAATTGTAAGGAAAAAAAATTAATGGAGGTCACGTCATTTCAGATGTCAATGCTGACTGGGATATCGAAATCCCTGGTATTTCAGCCCATTCGTAATTGTTTTATAGATTCTCTTAAAATACTTACACCTCCGTCGCCAAACATTTGTTTCGTGTAAATATTGGTTTYGTAAATAAAATACCTTTTTTCTAGAATTTTGCTTGATACCCTAATTTGCATCAACCAATAGAGGCTTTGCACCATCACATGATGGCAGCCAAGGGCAGGAACAATTGATTCTGGTCTAGTCTGATTTACATTAGAAAGGATTCAGTTTCCCAGAGGAAAAGACTATTGTTCCTTCCCCCTGACGTGGCTGCCATCACGTGATGGTGTAAAGCGACTATAGACCGTTTTCTCAATGTTGCGTGCGCATCGAACTTGACGGGCCACAAAATTGAAAAACGCAAATTCAGTAAAATTGAGAAGACAGTTTTATCTATCTTACAATCTACAGCTCAGCAATTAATTACATTCAATATCATTAGATTTTTTCTTTTTTAATACTGTACTATTTTTGAAATAAATTTTCAAAGCTGCTATTTCTTAACAACACCCAAAATAAAAGCCAGTGTTTGGGAATATGGTCTGGTTTAGTAGGCAACTTACGATGAAACTTCGTCATTCAATTAATAATATAAGAACATCCGTTAATTAGGAGATAATTTAGAACTAACGATTTCATTAAAAATAATATAAAATACCCATTGGTAGAAGATAATAGGTGTGGCCTACATCCACCAAGGGCTACCAAATATTTGAGTGCATCAAACTTGTGCCAACATTGTTTCTAAAGATCGGCGAACATTCGTGAAATCTTGCTGTTGCTGAAACAAATAATGGACGTGACACAATGAGTCTTGGGCGATCTCAGAATTTTATTTCGAGAAAATGTATTATGAATAGACCTCCTCGGCTCTGACGTAATGCTTTCCCAATTCAGACCACGTGTCATTCCCTATAGTATTATTTCTTTGTTTAAGGTTTGCGCTCGGTTGCACAGACACATGACTGGATACAACTCAAACAAAGAATATTATTCTCAAGGGAATGACACGAGCGAATGACGAGCGCTCCAGAGCTCAGGAGGTCTATTGGCCTTTCAACCAGCTCATCTGAGAAAAAATATTTAAGCCAATCAAACTCTGAAAATTGACTGACGTGTCATTTTTCCTCTTGAAATAAAAAACACCTTTCTTTCGTTTTCGCACTGGACTCTGAAGATGACTGCCGCACAGGTTGTCGAAACGTAAGTCACTACCAACAACAGTCTTTCTCAAGACTACTCTCACGGGTGCACCTGGACGATCACACTTCACAACAAACGAAAAGAAAAAACGCTGCTAATACGTGTTTGATAATAGTGACTCAATATTAATGATTTTTATATTTTTATCGCGGCTTCTCGGGAGAGCGTTAGTGCCATTTAGCAGAGCCTATTTTTCTTTTGTTTTGGTGAAGTGAGAAAAATAGACTCTGCCGATGTAAGACGTTATACTTGTTGCCCCTGCGTGGCGTTACTTAGCAGCGCTGTCATGACAGCCGCTCGTGTCAAACAACGTTTGGCGCCTCGGTATGCTACATTTGCTCATGCGAACTACATGTATCCGGTTAAAAACCGGTTTTAAAACTGGTTTTGTTCGTCCACGATTGTGGACGGCATTGTATCAAAGGAAACGCTCTACATCGGCAGAGTATCCCTCCTCACCGCCTAAAAGAAGGGAGAGAAAGAGGAGAGACTCTGCTAGCAGGGAATCGTTTTTGCGGAATTATTGCCAGTCTTTCTAATGTGGAGATGCTTTTCGGACCCAGTCCCTTGCTCGTTTTTGAAACGGCCAATTCTGAATATTTACTTTATTTAGAAAGATTTGTAGCCACAGAAACATGCAGAAAGAAATATATTTTTTCACCGCATTATAAAAATATTTTGTCTTCCCTTACCGTATCGGACAGGATTTTCTTCTGCAAACCACTGATTTCTTTTCTCAACTGGTCATGCACCGTGCGTTTATGCTCCTCGTGGTTTTTCTTTAGATTCAGGATGCCTTTCGTGTAGTCTTCGTGCAACTGTACCACGCGTTTGAGCCTTTGTGTCTGGACTGCATGTTGCTGGTTAAACAGCTTTGTTTGTTGTTGGTACAAAGACTGTAATGGAATAAAAGTTTTTTTTTATTAATTATTTATCGGTGGGGGGTGGGTTGGGTAAAAAATAGCAAACGTTTTTTCTCTTAAATTCCCCATTAAAAATATCTCTTTTTTTCGAAAACCCCTGTTCAATCCCCACATTATGAAGGCTCTCTTGAATATAAATCATCAAATAATTTCATGACCCCGTTTTCTAGGTCATTTAAATTTCAAACCCCCTCCCCTGCCCCTTTAATTTCTCACCCAGCTACCCACCTCACCTCCCCCCTCCAATAGATAATGAACGGTGCCTAAATTGAGGTGTAGACGAAAATGTCAGGAATAGAATATAATGATAAAATAATTTTGAGAAATAGAACAAGTTTCTTTAATCCAAACATGTTCCGGCGTACATGTAAGCTGAAACATGTTTGGATTAAAGAAACTTGGTCTATTTCTCAAAATATTTTCTTCACTGGTGTTAACAGACCAATATTAAAATACTACCCGTAACATTCATCGTCAAATCAATAATAAAATAATAAAATATAATAAAATGTTTTTTTTTAGTTTGTTAAAAATAATTTTGTCTTATCTGCAAGAATCAAGGGCAGGGTAATCATCTAACTATGAATAAAACCACACGACCGCATGTGTTTCATAGCAAGACATGTTCCGTTTAAATATATTAATGTTAGACTAAAGTCATCAGCCGGGCGTTGTGGCGTACGCCTGTAATCCAGTTAATTGGAGGCTAGAGGTGGTGAATGGCTTGAGATATGGATTCCTATTGGTTGTCGTCCTATGTCGATCGGGTGTCCATGCTAAGTCGGGCGTCAATATGGTGGTTTGAGATGAGTCTTGAGTCACCAGGTTAGTTAAAGAGGAGCGTACTGGCCCAGGGTGGAAACACAGCAGGCAAAAGCTCCCGCGTTCGACAGTAGTGGGATAGCATCTGTGAATAGGTGGCGGTCGATAGCCATATCGAGATAGTCGAACCCATCTCTTTTTTTTACCTCCTTTTCCGTTTTCCTTGTATACAAATTGAC